AGGGTCCAGTCTCGTTATCGACTGTGCTCTAAGCTGGAAATGTTTTGCCCTGATTGAAGTGATTTATGAATGTGGCCTCTGTTACGCCCCTCTTTCTCCCTTCACAGCCCCCTTCCTGTGTCATCCCAACCTCTGGATCCGCTATGGTGCCGTGGGCTTCCTCACAGTGTTAGCCCATCAAATAAGCACGGCTGATGTCTACTGCAAACTGATGCCTTACCTTGACCCCTACATCACCCACCCAATAATACAGGTAGGCACGTTCCAGCTTGGAATCCACCCTCCCTTCAAATTGTGCTCCTTTAAAAATGTATATTTAGAAGATCATTTTTTCCTTTAAAATTGTAAAAGTTAATTAAATTGGGCTCTGGCATTTTCACACTTCCTATCTGCTGGTTAATGTTAACGGATAAAGTACCTTTGAAGTTGAGAAAAATTCAAGAGCATGTTACGCTATATACATCATGCTTTGCATAATTAGCACTCAGTAGTGTAGACTTTATTTTGTGTGTGTGTAATATTCTAAAGTACCCACCATTAAAGGAAACGTGATCTATAAAAAAATATATTGATGAATCCTGGCTTTTAATGGAACCCGTCAAACTGCTTTCCAGCGAAGTTAGCATCTGTAATAAGTTGAAGAAGCTTTTTCACATGTTTTATTGGTCTAGCTGATTCGGGTTTAATTAAAAAAAAAATAATAATGAGTCCTACTCCTCTACCCCCTAGCATCTTAGCATTTGATGGCAAGCTTTGGGACTTGGCTTTACGAAGGCAAAGATTATTTATCCAGCTTACAAGTCTTTACGTTCCTCATCCAGACACCCCACTTTTATATACATGTAAATTTATGTTTTTAAATCATTTTATTGGGAGCTCTTATAACATTCCATACATCATTTGTAGCAAGCATATTTGTTTGTACCTATGTCGCCATCATTTCCGAAACATGTTCTTTCTACTTGAGCCCTTGGTACAAGGTCCTCTTTTTTCCCCCTCCCTCCCTCTTGATATTTTGAGTGATGATTCTGGCTGTTAAAACATCCTGAAATTGCATTATTCCACTAAAACTACGAATCTGGCTGTTAAAACATCCTGAAAATTTCATATTGTGCTAAAACTCTATTTCCTACTGGAAGTTCACTTCCCTGTGGCTCTCTTCTAAGGTTCTATCCTAGCATGCATATGTCCAGAGGAAACAAAGAGTCTTTGATGCATATTTCCAAAAAGCATTCGAAAAAGCAGCCAGCACATCCCCTGAACACTAGGAATTTTGGGGTGTGCTCTGTTTTCCCTTTTCCCCTTAGATTCATCATTTTCTGGGGAATCACTATTCTTTATTTCATAGAGCTTGTAGAATTGTTGTTGGAAAATAAGTCTTCTTAAAAAAAAGTGTATTTTAGCTTTCTTCGAAATAGGGTCTAAAGATGCTTACTGTTTCTAACTCGTTACTTTCTTTATAAATTTATTTAATAAACTTTAGAGAAGCTGTCCTTGGAATTCAATAATTGGATACATTTGTAATAATTTTGAGTGGTGCTCAAAATCTGATACCCACGTGCTTTTTTGGAAATATGCATCAAAGACTCTTTGTTTTCTCTGGCTTTAAAATTTTATTTTTTAATTATTTTTTATTTTATCATTGTTTTATATTTTGACAGCTCACCAACATTAATTGAGAGCCCAACTGTCCATAAATCATAACTTCTCTACAATTTGGATTACATAAAAGATGCCCTTTTATCTTGCGAGGTTTTATACTGATCCGAAAGATAAAGGTCTCCACAGGCTAAGTCATTAGGCATATAGATATGCCAAAAGAAAGTCCTCAGAGTTATCGCTAGCGCTCATTCTTTTTAAGACACGTGCCTTGGGGATGATGAGGGAGAAAGGAGTTTATGCAGATTGAGCTGCTAACTACAGGGTCAGCGGTTCAAAGGTACTGCCAGCTGCTCTGCGGGAAGAAGATGAGGTGACCATCCGCTCCTGGAAAGATAGGACTCTCAGAAGCCTGAATGGGCAGTTCTCTCGCACCAGTTGGGTTGCTGTGAGTTGGAATCGACTCACTGGCAGTGATTTTTTTTTTTAGTTTATGTGTAGCACAATGCTACCAGAAGTAGTTGAATCTACTGGGAAGACTTGTGGTTATTGAGCATCTTTTGTGGGTCAGTACCTGTTGGCTACTAGACTTGTGTTCTAGAAAACTGGCTGTTATCTGCTATTTTGGGATCTAGAAAAGGCTGTTTTTCATTTTCTAAACATTTCTAACCAGAGCACTTCCTATTAGCTTTCTGATATGGTGTACAGAGAAGTGTGATCTGATGCTAACAGTGCTCAGCTCCTGTAATTCAGTAGCTTGTTTTCTTCTAAACAAAACCCTGGTGTTGACGTCTGCGTGGTCTTAGAAACAAATTCCCTGTGTTAACTTTCCACAGGTTGTATTTATTGAATTTGAAAAGTAAGAGATTCCGCATCTCTGACTGCTTGTTGTTGTTTTTCAAACACAGATTGAGAGAAAGCTTGTCCTGCTCAGTGTTCTGAAAGAGCCAGTGAGTCGCTCTATCTTTGACTACGCGCTGAGGGCTAAAGACATCGCCAGCTTGTTCAGACATCTGCGTATGCGGCAGAAGAAGCGAAGTGGGGCGATTGCGGACTGCCTTCCGCCCGAGGACCCTGCCATTGCACAGCTTCTGAAGAAGCTCCTCTCTCAGGTTGGACATCGCTCTGATCCCTTCCACCAGAGTATAGAATCAGTCAAAACACCAGGGCACCCTTGGGGCTAGGAAATGTTTGGTTGATTAGGCCTTCTTCTTCTTCTTCTTTTTTTTTTTACAATTAGCAAAGTTTTATTTGCTCATTTTTTGCATTTAAAATATTCTTCAATAACATCCTTGGCTTGAGATTCTTTGCCATTGTCCTTAACAACCACACAACTGCAACGTATTCTTCTAACAAATGAGAGACTAAACGCAGCAGACATCTTACGTGCTTGCTTTGGCTTCTAGGAGACAGCAGGATGACGAGGAGCCGTTGGGTTGCGGTACATAAGGACTCCCGGAGACCTATTAAGCCTTTCTTGTGATTACTAGCTTTATAAATGAGGGAAAGGTAGGCGATAGAACCTTAGAGCTAAGTTGTATATCGGCCCTGGATCATTTCACTTCAGTCTCTATAGAGCACTGACTACATGCACACAGCTGAAATAACTAGGATTTATAGTGCATGTTAGGTTGAATAAAGCAGCCGTTTACAGCTGTATCTACAAAGCCTATGAATTTGCATCCGTGAGCAAGTATTGTTAAGAGGAAATCTTTTTATTCTACTTGTCACTGGTAAAGCCTCTTTAGAAATATTAAGTCTAGAGTCAGTATCTTGTTCTGTTTGGCATGTGTGGAAGCCAGAGAGGCCAGGGCAGGTACAGAATGGTTACAAAGAAAGCTGCTGAGTAACTGCTTCATGAGCCATATGGCCAAATACAGAGGCCCAGGAAGGTTTTTTTTAAAAAGAGGGATTGTCAGCTAGTTATTCTAGGAGCACAGGAGATGAGAAAATGCTTTCGGTTGCAGACCGAGAATTGTGTTAGTTTGTGGATATAATCCCATAATGTATTACTTACATGCTGAATATCCATTGCTGGATGTCCCAGAATTGATTGATGGGACAGCTGTGGCGTGCTGTGGCAGGCTGGTCGGTCACCATTCTAGTAGTTTTCGGTCTTCATTTGCCTGGAGGCTGGACTCACTTCTGGATGTCCTTTCCAGACTAGTGGTTCTGTTTCCTGTAAGCCGAGAAGGCTTAATCTGATGGGACTTGCCTTGCCTAGGAATTCTTCTTTGGGCTTTACGTTACCCTTGGGGAAGGGGTGGGGTGGGGGCGGGGTGGAGGTGGAGGTGGGGTGGACCTCTTGCTGTCAAGTTCTCTGATTCATAGAGACGCTTATTGGACAGAGCAGAACTTCTGCGTAGGCTTTCCAAGACTGCGTTCTTGACTGAAGCAGAGTGTCTTGTCTTTCTCTTGCTGGGCAGCTGATGGCTTCTACCCACCAGTCTTCTGGTTAACAGCCAAACACTAACCACTGAGCCACCTAGGTTTGTCTGGCTCTTAGGGTATTATATAGTTTATATTTGAGAAAGCCACAGAAAATTAGATACTGAGTAACATTTTCCCATTTTTCTCCTGAATAGGAGCTCCTTAGAAACCCTCTATTTTGGTGGAAATACACAGCCATCTACCATTCCGGCAGTGTTTACATATGCACCTCAGTGATTGGTTACAGTCCGGTGATTGTGCCAACATGCTCACTGTCCTCCAGAGTGCCCTAGCCCCATGATGTGTGCGTGTGTGCATTTCACTCCTCTCAAAAGAAAAAAAGGGAAATAAATAAAACGGCAGAAAAACCAGCCACCGCAAACTAAAGGTTTCTTCTGGCTTGTACAGGGTACGCTCCCATGGTATTTATTTCTCCCTGATGAGTGTTTTCCCTGAGATGAAATGAAAAGGTGGTATGTGGAAATGTTCTCAACTGTGGGTTGTGACCCTTTTGGGGGTCGGACAAACCTTTCACGGGGGTCGCCCGATTCATAACGGCAGCAAAGTGATAGTGATGAAGTAGCAATGACAGTTATGGTGTGGTTGGGGGTCACCACCTGAGGAATGGTACGAAGGGGCTGCGCGTGGCATGAGGCGGGCGGAGAACCACTGCTGTAAGCCATCAGGCACTCCTGGAGCCCCTTAGCTCTTCATCTCTGCCATGGACTTGGCTGTGGGTTCGCTTCTCTGCCGTGTGAAATGAAGGAGAAGGAACTGCTCCTTTAGCCTTTCTTCTCTCTGCTTCCCGCCTTTCTTCTCCCAAGCCCCTGCCCCGCCGCTCGCTGCTCCTTCAGTGCCGGCCCCCTTTACCTGTGCCACGAGGAAGCCACTGATGATCTCTGACTGGTCAGTTCTGCTGAACTGTGGCTGCTTGTTGGATTCACTTGTCTCCCATGTCTTCCCTTGCCTGCGTGGAAAAAGAGGAACAAGAAACCCGTGTCTGTGGTGACAGTAGCTTGAGGAGATTCCTAATGGCTAGGAGGCCTCCCTCTGTTTCACGAGAACAGGCACTGACTGGACGTGAAAGGGAGAGCAGGTCAGATACCTCTGAGCTCCGCAGAAGAAACACCCCCGCCTCTGTTTTCTTTTGCGAACCCACAGTGAGCCTACCATCCTAGTTGGTGCCTCTCCTTCCCCATGTTTGGACTGCCCGCCCAAACAACAAATGTGATCCCAGGGTGTAGATAAGGACGCTAGGACTCAAGGAAGGTTAACTTGCGTATGCTTACACAATTTAATACATTTCAAAACTGGGATTTGAACCTAAGTCTGTCTAGTTCCTAAGCATACACTCCATTCAACGCCCTGTTGTGTCTCAGAGGAAATTAATTGAGGGAGGGTAGGAGCTGGTTCAGGCTAAGCAGCGTCTCCGGTTCTATTCAGATCAGAAAGAAGTCCCTGTACAGCCATCTTCAGACCCTTGCAGACAGCTTCTCTGCCTTGACTTCCGTTTGGGCCCTGCCTTGCTTAGGCTTCTAGAGATTGTTAATAGAATCTGAGAGCCAGAGGAAGCTGTGAAGATAGGAATTTCCTCCTTGTTCCTGTTATGGGAAGGCTGGGGGGAGGTTGGGGGAGAGAGACATGTTAATCTCAATAAGTAGGAATTCTTAATCCTACACATTTTTTTCCCACCTTGGGGTTCTACAGTACTCTTGAGATATACCATGAGGAAAACAGGCCTTTCTAGATCAGTCTGGCATTGTTTCTGTGGGAAAATGTGTTCAGTGTTTTAGATAATGGACTTGGGGTACACATTTGGAACATGACCCATATGGGAGTTGAGCTATACTTGTACTCCAGATTTTCATTAGAATTCGCCATCTGGAATTGACACGCGGCTGGGCTGCTGTAGATAGACCTCGTCTACAAGAGCGCCCTGTTTAATTTGTGTCCCTGTGATCAGTGCTAATACAGAATACAAAATGATTTTACTCCTTATCAAGAAGATGACACGGAGCTGACATTTGGAACTGAATAGTAATTTTTATTTTCATAAATTTTGACCGAGTAGGTATAAAACTTGGAAGGAATGCTCTCTCTTCCAGTCCCTGGCAGCAGGGACCAGCATGCGTCGGTGCAGACATGGCCAAGTCCAAGAACCATACCACACACAACCAATCCCGGAAATGGCACAGAATGGCATAAAAAAACCACGATCACAACAATACGCATCTCTTAAGGGGCTGGACCCCAAGTTCCCGAGGAACATGTGCTTCGCCAAGAAGCACAACAAGAAGGGCTTGAAGAAAATGCAGGCCCACAAGGTCAAGGCCGCAGCTGCTTGCATCGAGGCTGTCAAGGATTTGTAAAGCCCACGGAGGTCAAGGCCAAGATCCCAATGGACGGCAACTGCAAGCTCAGCCGACTGGCCTACATCGCCCACCCCAAGCTTGGCAAGTGGTCTCAGGCACGTGTTGCCAAGGGTCTGCCGGCCCAAGGCCAAGGCACAAGCAAGGCTGAAGCTCCAGCCAAGGCCTTGACTCCAGCAAAAGCTCTCAAAGGCGCCCCAGCTCCAGCTCCCATAGGTGCCCAGGCTCCCACAAAGTAGAGTTCTCTGTGGGAGCCCGGGGGCTGCCGCCTGCATGGTCCTGGTGTCTTCTTGTGCTGTTGTATAGATAAACCCAGGTGGCACTGTTACTGGTCTGCTTGTGATGGGGGGAAAAATTTGGCAAGAATGCAGAGAGATATGCATAAAAATAACATTTTTTCCAATCCCTGAACCCAGTCACCCAAGTTTCTTCCTAAGTCTGAGTAAAGCTCAAGCAAGCATCACAATCGTAGTTTCCGTTCCTTCTTGTTACTTTCTTTTGGGAGATAGTGTAGCATGGTGCAAGAGTGTGGGCTTTCAAATTCTCTGTGCAGTGGCCTGTGGGACTCTGAACTTTATGTTATTAGTTCCTGAATTCCTTTCATCTTCAACCTGTGATTTATGTTACTTAGCGTTTGTGTGACTGTTTTAACCTTTGGTGGGATAGGCCCCGAGCAGCGCCATGGCCAATTTGGCCCCATTAGTGAGGACTTCGGAGACGCTGCCGAACACTGCGTCTTCAGAGGTCTCTACTCTAGCGGCCCGGCTGTGAGCGTTCCCAGCCCCATCAGCTATGGAGGTTCTTTGGGCTTAGGTTGCTCTTTCTCTGGCCTTGCATAGCTTCGTCTACATGGAATTCAGCTCAACATTCAATCACTGGAGGGAATTCTTCAGTAGCCCCTCCAAGTGCTCTCTGTGCAGACCCCACCTTTCCAGGTCCCTTTCCCACCGACTGAGCCTTTTGGGGCTCCTTGAACTCTGATCTGTCTCTTCAGCTCACCTCTGCGCCAAGCTTTGTTTGGGTTTCTGTCCTGTGCCAAGGCTTGGAAGCTCTTTCCAGGCAGAATGCTGGGGACAAATCACAGGCCTGCTTTAACTGTTGGCTAGTGCCTAGCCAATGGTGCTTCATGCTGTTTGCATTTAGTGCATAAATCGGGAGGGGACATCTAGGCCTTGTTAGCAGCCCTTTGTGGGCATGCTTGTGGAATTTGACCAGTATTGCACTCTCTTACAGTGAGGCTTGATCCGTAGTCGAGTAAGATCTCCCAGCTTGTTTTCATTATTCAGGGTTGTCTTGGTTATCTTTGGTCCTTTGCATTTGGGGCTATATTTTAAAAATCAGCTTGTCACTTACTTCCCACTCCCCACCCCCACCCCTTCAAATTTGATAGCCATACTTCAGTTTCATTAAACCGTAGTGGTACAGTTGGTCACATGTAAAATAGGCGGTTCAAACTCACCAGCTAGGATGGAGGCGAGGCTGTCTGCTCCCATAAAGATTTAGTCTCCCAAGCCCTAAGGAACAGTTCCACTCTGTCTTACGGGGTTGCTCTGAGTTGGAATCGATTGGATGCTGTGATTTTTTTTTCTTTTTTATTGTTGTTGTTCATGAAAGAATTGCTGTCTATATATAATACTGAGCCTTTCAATCCATGAGCGTGGTATATGTCTTCATTAATTTAGGTCTTTATTCTCTTTTTTTCAATAATATCTTACAGTTTATTTTGTAGACTTTTTGATACTTTTTATTATAAATATTTGGGGCGTTTGCTTTTTCAAGGCTACTATAGGTGATATACAGGCTAGGAACAAATGGCTTATAGGCAGTGCCTTCCAGCTTTTAAGGCAGGGCTCTGGCCCATTTGCCCCTTCCCCACCCCCGGCTGCTGCTTATGTACTGCCTCTGTGGCTTTGCCTATTCTGAACGTTCCGTATCAGTGGAATCACGAATACTGCTTGGCGCCTTCCACGCAGCATGTAGTGTTTCCAGAGCGCATCTCTGTTGCAACTTGTATTGGGGCGTCATTCCTATTTACGGCTCTTGTGAAGACCCTCTGTTGTGGGACAAAACAGGCAAAAATAAAAAGAGCAGAACTCATCCATAGCTATAAGATCGTATACGTGAATTTTAAGGCGGGAGAAGTGAAAATAATCGAATAATTTCAGATTACTCTGGGGAAAAGGGCTTTTGAGGATCTCACTTTATGATTATTAACTTCTTCTTAAAGCTTCTTTCTTGCCAGCTGTCAAAATCAAAAGCACAGTGTAAATCGTTGTTTTTTACTGGAGCACTTATTCCCTATTTATCTAGATCTTAATGTTTATTTAGAGCTTAATGAAGTTTCTTAAGTTTGTTTAATACCTGTCATCATTCTTAAATTCTGCTATCACATATTAGTTGTGAACATTATTCTTCAAAGACTCACATCTTATATTTAATAGCATTAAGAAAATATTAGCTCCCAGTAAATCAGTTATCTAAAGAATGATCACATTTCTTGGGATATCTCTGCTGTAGGTTTGAGTTGATTGTTGTATTTTAGTATGAGTTTATGTCACTGTTTTGTGGGTTTCTATGTCCCTAGGGTTGGTTTCTGATATACCTGTGGATTGCAAATAGGAGATCCTCTGAGTGACTGGGAAATTAAGCAGAAAATGTGGAACTGCACCATTTATCAGAATACTTACATGGCCTATTGAATTAATTATTTAATTATTTACTATTTATTGTGCCTCATATCAGGTGTTCTAAGTGCCCAGGTCTATTATCTCATTAAGATTTCACTATATCCCTGGTGTAGTGGATTACATGTTGACATGCTGACCTTAGGCCACCAATTTGAATCTGCCAATCTTGTCGGGGAGAAAGAAGAGGATTTCTGCTCCTGTAAAGTTTTATAGCCTTGGAAACTCGCCGAGGTAGTTCTAGTGTGTCCTGTAGGGCTGCTGTGAGTTGAAAGAGATTGGACTAGACAGTGAGAGAGGAAGAGAGAGAGTGGGCATGGCAGGAGAGGGAGCGAGGAATGGGGAGGGGTCGGGATTGATAGGAGTACCCTATGTGTATTAATGCGTTAACATTTCATTAATCCTTGTAAGATAGGTATTGGTAATTATTTTCATTTTAAAGATGAATAGAGGCGTAGAGAACCTGGCTAACTTGCCCATTGTCACACAGCTAAGCAGTAGAGCTGACATTTGAACTGACTAGGAAGTCTTCCTCTGCTTCAGAAAAGGTATTTCAGAGATGGATTCTATGTGAATGCTGCCATTTAGAAAGAAAGCTACCAAAATGTGAACCATAGTAACTCACGGCTGTCAAGTCAAGTCATTGCAGCCCGGTCGAACAGTAGAGCTGCCCTGTGGACCTCCCAGGAACTCGTTAGGAGGGGAAACCTCATCTTCATCCCGCTGCAGGTGGGTGGGTGCAGCTGCTGACCTCGAGTGATTGGAAGGGAAGCCGAGAGACAAGGGAATCACTGAGATACAGACTTGGAAGCGCTCTCCGAGAGCAGTTCTTGGAGGGCGGAGGAGCAAGGCCTTCCTCGGTATTGATGCGCTCTTGCTGTCCCTTTGCTTGCTGCATTTCACCACTCCGACGCTTAGAAATTTAAATCGGGTGGTCTGACCCTTCAGTTGCTAGTTATTCCCAGGCCTGTTACAATGACTTGGAAATAACCTCAGATGTTTTGTTTTGTTTGATTTCAGGGAATGACCGAGGAAGAGGAAGATAAACTTCTGGCACTGAAAGACTTCATGATGAAGTCTAACAAAGCAAAGGCCAATATCGTGGACCAGAGCCATCTCCATGATAGTAGCCAGAAAGGTGTGATTGATTTGGCCGCCTTCGGCATAACTGGGAGACAAGTGGATCTTGTTAAAACCAAACAGGAGCCAGATGAGAAGCGTGGTTAGTATGGGTGCAGGTTGGGCATTCGCTTATCATTAGTTATTTAATAGGGCTGCTTTGGGCAAATTAATACAGTTAAAAGTCACATTTCCAAGATACAGAACTTCATATACAACAACTTTACTTGGTAACGATTTTGTGAGAAAAAGTTGTCGTCATCGTCATGAGCCAGTGAGTGGGCTCTGACTTAAACCCAACAGAACAAAACCCTTAGCAGGCC